CGGATAGTGCGGCAAAGGAAGGAGTTACCAAATTTCTTTGTGACCTCATAGTAGGTCGGTGACAACGTGGGTCGGCGCGTGGTCCTCTCAAGAAAAGGGGAAAGTGAGATAATGGAGAATAACTCAAAAAAAAAATTAAAATTAAATATCATTTATTCAGTCTAGGTTGTTACAAACATTTGTAAAGGTCATGAAGCTTCGCCATCGGTTCGCAAAACTACGGCGGGAGACCTTGTACTGAGAAGAAATGGCAAGAAACTCAGCAAGGGCTGTTTCAACAATACAGGGAGAAACCCTGTATTGTTACATACAGAATCGTCAGAGATACCTATGATCTGTTACGAAAAATGACTAATGCCATCAAATAACAAATTAGAAGAATCACTATGTCCATGCATTACGATCATTTAGATAACCATCAACTTAAATAATAGCCCTTATTCATAAAAGTATTCTTGATCTGAGATTTGAACTTGTTCAGTAGAAGCTCAATCAGATCTTGGGGAACTTTATTAAATAATGCAATACTACAACCCAGAAATGAACCTCTTCATTTTTGGAGTCTGAAACATGGAACGGCAAGCTTGTTCTTAAATCCCGTGTTAAAGTTATGGGAAGTTACTTGTTTTTGCTAATGCGTCATAGTTTTTTCTTACATATATTATATTTTCATAAATGTATTGCGATGCCAGTGTTATATTTGTTTTTAACTTTTCTCTTAGTGATTCTCTTGCCATTAAGTTGTTTATGGCGCGAACAGCTTTCTTTTGCTGTAAGAAAATACTTTCGATATGAGCAGCTGAGCCCCACAACAAAAGGCGATATGACATAACGCTATGAAAGTAACCAAAGTAAACCAATCTTGCCGTTTCCTCATTAGTTAAGAGTCTTAATTTTTTAACAGCGAAAGCTGCACTGCTCTGTCTACTTGATAAGGCATCAATATGGGGATCCCATTGCAGATGCGATTCTAAAGTAATACCCAGAAACTTTGTAGAATCTCTTAACTCCTCAGAACACTCGCCGTGGTATAGATAGACGACACTAACTAAAACGATTTTCGGCTTGAATCACAGTGCTTGTCTGGAGAAGTAATCCACACCTTACTGAAGAACCTTAGATCACAATTAACAGTAAATTAACAGTACTCTTTGGTGGTGTTGTTTCTGCCGGAGTAAGGTTTCAGGGCTCCACGTGATAGGGGATGTAGTTATACTAGACAATGCGTCTAATCACTATGGTAGTAGCTTACCAACAACGGGTTTAGTAGGTTATGCTTGTTTACCACACTACATCAACCCAATGTATTAATACCACATATTTTATCCTTGTGGCGGTAGGCCATTAACCCCCTGATATTAACCTATATAAGTTACCTTGACTCAAACTGTCTCATCGTTTTAATGACCCCACAATAGGTAGCTCGTTATTCAAGTTAAGGATTTGGCCGTTTGGTCCGTTTCAAACGTACTAACAAAACATTGGAAATTACGATCGCATTTGCAAATACAAACGACTAACCTGACATGTTTACAATAAAACAAGTGGGGCGAGGCATTCTGTACTCTTTAACTGCTAGTATAAGGTACAACTTACTGTGATATAATCGTAATTAATCAGGGTCTGTATTAGTGTTTAATCCTTCCCGTTTACCCGACCATTGGTAAATTTCGTCTAATTTGCTAGCAGAATTCTCGTACTCGAGGTTTTTTATCGAATTTCGAATGTAAGCTTTATTAAAATTTTAGGATAATTCATACAAATAAGTACTTAATATTAGCTTTAACTTGTGGAATTGATAAAATGGTTTTTATAAATATTTCGCACATCTAGCTTCTAAAAGTCACAAATGTCAAAAAATGTAATATTGTGTTAACAATGCCAGAAGATTCCTTTTGTTCAAATTCATTGAGTGCTTAAAAGGAGAAACAGAATTTGAAACGACCTTAAAGGCAGAAAAAGACTATTGAAACGCGGTGTGACCTAAGGCGCCACGCGACGCGTGTTAAGTCAAATCAAATCGCCTATTTTCTATGATCAGAATCACATTAGGAATATTCAAACGTCTGTTTTTTTATTCAAGAACTGTGCGTAAGATAATGTCACTATAGCTTTAGCGCAAAAAGTTACGTGCCTTGATATTTAAAGCGCCCTACTGTAAAAAAATGACATTTACGACTTTAAAGGACTAATTGTTCGATTTCATTCAAACAAAAGTTAACAGTTTAAGCGTGTCTACTCATGACGCGACGCGACGCAGAATTGCATCGATTGCAGTGAGGTATCGCATGATTGTGGGGCTTACACCCATATTCTTAGTCGTTTCCTCGAGATTTTTTCCACTCGACTCAACCTCATTCGAGGAAATTCGTATGCTTAGACAACAAAAATATCCTTCACTTGAGATATTCCTCACTCGAGTGGAGGTCGAGTCGAGGAATAAACTGTCAAACTCAAGGTCAACTATAGCTCTCGACGTACCTTAAGGCTTCCTCGAGTAGTGGTTAAGGTGTTTTCAAGTTGTTTTTATCGAGAATTATGTCTGATTATGAGATTATTGATGAATAGGTGGATTTTATTTTTTACGTATGCGATACCATATAATCTGGCGCGACGGTATTTACGTGACGCCGCAAATCCTTTTGAGGTTTACGACAATGATTCGTTTCAAAGAAGATTTCGGTTTAGAGAGATACAGTCATACAAGTAATATTTCCTCTGCTAAGCATTACACTACATTGTAATAACAGAGGACTACCTTTAACACAATTACTGGTGGCTTTTAAGTTTTATGTGACAGGATTATTTCAAGTAGGTATTTATTTACCTGTGTTTGTTGTGTGATATTTTACTTTACACATATAATATGTCTTTGCTTTTATACTTTATACCTTTGTTTGTACTCTCAGTGGAGGAATTCTGAAGTTTGTTCAACAAACCAACTAGGATATCATTTTCGAGGTTATTTGGAGGAGCGCCTTAAGGAGCCCTTGAATGAGTTAGAGTCGAGGAACGTTTGAGGACGCGACTAAGAATATGGATGTTAGTGTACGTCCACACGCAGCGCATCTTGTGTCTCGCAAGATGAAGGGCAAGGTCACGCAAATTGGTCGAATGCCATCGAATTTGTACCCTTACGGTTTGAGGGACCACTTTAAAATATCCTATCTACTTTTTTTTATCGCGAAGATATAATTGAGAGAACAAAATAAAATACATAGGTACAAATTGTACCAAAACAATTATTTTATGCAGACGCAGGGGTACTGTGTGCAACTAGTCAGTCCATGAACAAATTAATTTCAATATCATCTTCTGATTTTGCGTTTTTAAGGAGAATTCCTCGTATTATAGCTATTAAGGGGATTGTTACCATGTACCTTGTTTTTTATGAGTCTCCGATATTTCGGCACTGTTGCAAGCGCCATGATCACGGAGTAACTGAAGTAATTGCGGGTAGATGTTATTGGCAGACATATCGGTCTACCCTCTGACGTCGTCTTTTACTGCGCTCGATACCCCTACCATTGGTCACATTCTCACTATTCACTCGCACCTGTTCCCGACACACAATACTTACAGTATCAGATCGCGGAACGACACTTTTTTATTTTTACGGTTTTTGCACATACGAATAATAAATCATAAAAAACAAGGTACATGGTAACAATCCCGTTAATAGCTATAATGTTAGTGACCATGAAAGTTTAAAACAATATATCGAATTCCTCGTACTTATGTAATTTACTTATTCGTTACAGTTTTTCTTTGTCTATTCCTAATTAATAACTTTATGTAGTTATGGTTTTCTCACTTGGGAAAATATAATTAGGTAGTATATTTTTTCGGTCAGATGCCATGAACAAAACTTAATTAAATACTTAAACTTTAATGCAACCCCACATCAAACCAATTTACAAGGTGACACCAACATTGAATTACTGTAAAAAACTGTCTGTTATTTTTAGTCTGGCCGAATCTAATTAAATAAGGTGGTAGAGGCTTCTTATAATAATTTTCCTCTTTTGTAATTTTATATTCATACTAGATGTCCAGCGAACTTCGTCCGGTAATAAAAATAAGGATTTGTGGTAGAGGGGTAAAAATTTTGGATTGAATTTATTTTTGTATGATGTATCATAAAAAAATAAAAACACCAAATTTTGTCCAAAAGAAATAAAATAAAATAAGGGTGGACCACTCTTAACATTTGGGGGGATGAAAAATATGATGTTGTTCGATTCTCAGACCTACTGAATATGCATATAAAATTTCACGAAAATCGGTCGTTTTTGGAGTAGTTTCTGGATTTCACCTTCACTCTTTTCTATTTCAACATCAGGGGGGGTGGAGTCATTTGTTGGACCTAACTACAAAAAAAACGACGGGTTGCACTCTGGGAGTGCCGGCAGAAGTGAAAACGTTGTGCATTTTTGATATTTTGGAATGGTTAGGGAATAATTTTGCTTTAATTATAATTTATCAGTATAAAAGTACTATCATGTATGTGGTAGAATACAATATTTATTTATTGCGCTATCGTACACAAACATGACAGTTTATATTACATTAAAAAAGTTTATCTCTCAGAAAAATCAACTTACATGGATCACGTTTAAGCGCACTTAGCGACATCTATTGTAAAGAAATCAACTTACATGAATCACATTTAAGCGCACCTAGCGACATCTATTGTAAAAAAAAATGCATTTTCTTCGCAATAAAGCTGCCACGTGGACGTCCTAGATGGAGACTTAATATTATATATTATAATACGGTAAAATAAAATATTACTATGTTTCGTCCAATATATTGAAAGTCAACAACCTTTCCAATTTTATTGTGTGTCATGATGCGATCAGCCCACGTGTTTAACCTGACGCGAGTTTAACATTTTTACCCATACAAAAAAAGTGTACAACGCCGCTAAAGAAGTTTTCATTTCAAAAAAAAACTTTGTTCAAGATAAATTTTATAAAAGTGATTTCGTTTGTTCCCAGGTGGTAGTAAGCGTGCTACGCGCCTGACGGTGGCCACAGCAGTCGGCATATGGATACTGGCGGCGCTGTTAGCAGCCCCGGCATACGTGGGCTCTTACCTGAGAGCTTTTGTAGTCAATCCTACTACGCAGGTATGTTAATTATACTTTCAATATTATAATGAGGAGCCCGATGGCGCAAGAAGTTGGCGTGTTTGGCTGCCGTCGTTGAAGTTAAGCAACTTTCGCAGTGCTCGGTCATTGGATGGGTGACCAAAAATTTAATATATCGAGCTCCTCTGTGATTCAGAAGGAACTTAAGCCGTTGGTCCCGGCTGCATCAGCACCCTCTAATCCGCACGGGGCCCGCGTAGTGGGCAAGACCCAATCACCCTATTCCATCCGTAGGGAAGGCCTGTGCCCCAGCAGTGGGGCATGAATAGGCTGATGATTATAAATGTGAACTTTGTACGTTTGTTACTCAATCACGCAAAAATTACTTAATCCCACAGAAACCTAAATTTATTGCTGACTAAGAAGTATTCTATGTCCCAATCCAAGTCATAAAGTACATGCGTACCAAATTCCATACAAATATAACGGATACATACAACGCATTTGTATGAAATTTTGTACGCATGTAGTTTATGACCTGGGTTTAGATATTGAATCCTTTTTTATCCTGGAATAAATTAGGGTTCCTTTGGGTTTCTCAAAATGCGGGCGAAGTCGCGGGCGACCGCTAGAAAATGAATAGGTACATTTTAGCACAGACTTCAGAGTATGGAGCAAAAGAAACTTGATGGATAAAGAATGGAATATGAAACTAAAGGCAAAAGGAATACTTAAGGCTTGATGCACCTGTGAACAGATCTGTGTTTTAATAGTTTTTGAAACCAAAGCCTACAAATTACCTTGCCCTAACTGAAGTTTTGAGTCCAGTTCAGTCGCGATATAATAGTTAAATTAGCCGAAAAATCTGCCATATACACCGTTTCGGTAGGAAATCAATCCTTTCCCACGTGGAGCCCTACAGACCCTTATCACCGACTGAAACGCAACACCGCCATATTGTAATCTTCTTTGAGGTTCGAGGTATACTCTCATTGAAAAAGGTTGATATCAAATTAACACTTATTTAATTTTTATTGTTACCATTTAAGTGCCACATTCTTTGATATTTATATTATAGTGCATTGTTTGCCAATTAGTGGTACGCGTACCCCCGGGGGTACGCGAGATTGCATCAAGGAGTATGCGCAGCAATCTAATGCAATAATTGCCAAAAAAATATACAATTTAATTAAACGATCAGTCGTAAGTCAACCGTATGCATCAAGCGCTTGCTCCCGCAAGCGTACATTAACGATTAATGTGACAAATGTGCACGTTTATCTTTGCACAACTCTTTTTGATTAATAATTAATCAAACATGTTCTCTCTATCATAAGAATGTCTTGATGATAATAAATAAAAAATTACACCTGATTTAATTTTTTATTTAACGTTCCTGCAATAAGGTGGATCTCACCACGATGACGCATGTCGGATGTTGTAGCGACAGTGCGGCAAGCATCGGCGCAAGGAGTAGTATGAAAATGCATCCACACACGACATCGTCATCGTGTGAGAACGCCCTAACCCAAGGGGTATGCGAGTTTGAGATCTTCTTTGAAGTGGTTAGAAAAAAAAAACTAATTGGGAACCACTGTTATAGTGAAACGTGCATAAAACGCAGAATTATTAATTAATAAACCTGAAGAATCCTTAAAAACGAACCAATTAATATTCTGTGCAGCCATTCCCATTTCTGTATTGTCGTTTTCAACGTCGGTCTAATGAACTTTACATATTCCATTTACCCTTCGTTTCTTTGCTCATGATAAATTAACAAGAATATTTGCCATATTTGTGTGTTGACGTATGAAAAATGGTTCACTCCTCGAAAATGTTCACGAGAATCAATATTCCATGAAACGGAAAGGAAGAAAGGCACAGTTCAAATGATGATAATTAAATTAACGCTGTGAAGAGGCTTCGTTTGACATTGGTAGACCCTTTTTAGGGATCTATAGGCAAATGGCAAAAAACGGAACCCTTAGGGATTCCTCATGTGTGTCTGTCTGTCAGTCACAGCCACTGTTTTCCAAAACTATAAGAACTATACTGTTGAAACTTGGTGTGTAGATGTATTCTGTGAAACGCATTAAGATTTGCACACAAAAATAGAAAAAATAAAACAATAAATTTTGGGAGTTCCCCATACTTAGAACTAGAACTCAAAATGTTTGTTTCATCAAACCCATACGTGTGGGGTATCTATGATAGATATAAGATAGGTCTTCAAAAATTATATTGAGGTCTTAATACCACTTTTTTCTAAACTGAATAGTTTGCGCGAGAGACACTTCCTAAGTGGTAAAATGTGTCCCCCCCTGTAACTTCTAAAATAAAAAAAATATGATGTACATTACTATGCAAACTTTCACCGAAAATTGGTTTGAAGGAGATCTAGTAAATTACCTTTCATTCAATCAACTCAACTTTACTTATCGATAACTTAGTAAAAAAAATACACTATAATTAAAACATCGATCAAAGTTACAACGAACTACAAGTACTTTTATATTATGTTAATTGTTGCTACGGAACCCATCATGGGCGAGTCTGATTCGCACTAGGTCGCTTTTTATTATTTATGCATATTGTGCATTCAGTAAGTCCGATGCTTCCTGCAGCTTTAAAATGGACAGTCATCAGTCCATTTTAAAGATAGAAAAGCATAGTATTACTATGCCTTTCAAAATGGTTCTCTCTTTCTGGTTCTTTTTAAAATTGTTCTCTCTCTCTCTCTCTCTCTCTCTCTCTCTCTCTCTCTCTCTCTCTCTCTCTCTCTCTTTGACAGTTTGACAGTTACTTTTCGCACTCGCGAACTAATCGATTTCGGTAATGGTTCGTGCTAAGGGTGCAGTATTCTTTATTTATTCTGTATGAAACTCCATACTGCAACGCACACTATATATCAGAATCGTAAAGATATGTATGTAGGTATGCTACGAATATGAGGGTTGTACTACATGTCTCAAATAATAAATAATAATAATAAAAAAAATATTGGAACCACTTTACATTTTGGTACATGATAATGTGAAACCCTGTCCTATGGAAAAGGTTACCCTGAGAACCAGAAGACAGTAAAGAAAGAAAGAAGAAATGTAAAGGACATGTTAAAATTTTGTATGAGCGCCTGCCCTAGCGATGTATGTGTAAATATTGTACTTAGTAATATTAATGCTGAATGTCTGAATATTTGTAATTTATATGAAAAATGATTCCAGAATTTTCTGAAAATTAGGAAAAGTCTTCTACGTAATTACTACATTTTTGATAAAAGATATTGCCGATTTAAGGTATTAATCTTTGTTCCTTCTTCTTTCATTTACAGTTCACAAAAGCTTTTTAAATCATGATTAAATACAAATTTGTAACCGTAACATTAAAATATATCAATCAATGACGTTTATGGCAGAATACCAACATATAAGACGACCAAACTGACTACTAAATAAAATCTTAACAGGGATACGCAATTCAGAGCACAGTTAATGCTTTTTGTTTTAGCAGGATTGTATTTTTTATTTGATAGTCGGCACACAATAATTTCATCTCTGAAGTTCTATTTTGTTCATTTGCAAAAAGCAAAGGACTAATGCTTATACAGCCTTGTCTGAAGTCTGATATGATATGATTATGAAACAAAATTAGGGTCAGGTTTTTAATAGTTTTTAGGAGTTTGGAATTAATATTGTTTATTTCGATATACTTACACAAATATTTTTTGTGTAGATTTATTGTTCATATATTTTTGTAAAACCGATTTTCCTCTTGTAATCGATTTGAAGTCAATTTTAATACTTTTATTATATTTTGAACGTGACTACAAAACGTATATATATGTAATTTACGCACCACTATTTATAATAAATTAATGATTGGCACTAGCATGGCTTGGAAAGTGGGTAAAAGTTTTAAATTATTTACCTTTCAGTTCCCTGAGAGATGTAACCACTTTAACGCTTAATAAAATAACCAGTTAAGGGTGTTTATTAAATGAGAAATGTTCACTGAAGCGTTAAACAGTTTTAAAGTTAATAAAATTAACAACCTTTGAGGAAAGTTACATCAATAGATATAAAGTGGGCAGATAACAACATCATCTTGTTTAACTTTTAAATTTTGTTACACTCTGTTACAGTAAAGTTTGTGATATTAAACAATTATAATAATACTAGAAGCCACCCGCGACTTCGTCCGCATTAACTTTAGTTTTTTGTGAATCCCTCAGGAACTTGTTTTTTTTTGGTAAGAAAAAGTATCCGTTTCAGTCCAGATAATAAACTATAAATAAATAAATAAATAAAAAGCCTTTTTATTTCCAGTACTTAAAGTTTACACTTCTTACAATCTATTTTAGTATTAGTTCATGTAATTTAATCTATGTTAGTATAATTTCTTCTTTCTTTACTTAATTCTATGTGTATTCTACTTAGTATATTATTTTTTATAAAAGTATTTTAAATTTAATCTACTGGAACCCCAAGTTGGGTGAAGGCCTCCTACAGTGACGCCCATTTGTCTCTATCTTTAGCTACTTTTCTCCAGTTTGGACCAGCTATCGCTTTAATGTCATCTTCCCATCGTGTAATAGGTCTACCTTTTTTTCTTTTGGCTAGTGGGCCATTACAGAAAGTAATTTTTTTGGTCCATCTATGTTCAGTTAGCCGGGCAACATGTCGGACAATAAACTATATGCGTGCCAAATTTCATCTAAAACTGTTCGGTAGTTTTTTGTGTGACTGAGTGACAAACGTAGGTACAACAAACTTTCACATTTACAATTTCAGTAGGTAGTAGAATTTAGCTTTTGTTATTGTGCATAATAAAAGTTCTGAAAGCGTCATTTGTGGCAGGTGTGAGAGCGGCTGTTGGGTACACTACGCTCAAATACTTAGAAGCTTGAGGCTATAATAAGCACCGCAATTTATCAGCAGTCTTATGGTCATTCAGGGAGACTGCATCGAGTAAAGGTTTAGGTTCCAACCCTAGATTCCAACATATTTTTGGCCTCAAGAAAAGTTTTACTAGAAAAAAAT